TATGGACATAATTCTATCAATTCATTCACATAATTGCTTATATGCAGAAGAAACAATTAGCTTGAAGTTTTAGAATGATCGTTTCAGAAGAAAAGATTTACAAATACATCATATACTGAATTTCCACACACATATAACAATACTCTCAATATATAGTCGCATTGTATGATGATGATAGTAATGGGTATGATAATGATAAATGTTATAATAATGAGTACAGTAATGATAATCATAGTTATGAATGATTATTGTGATAAAAGAAAAAGTAATAAGAATAATGTTTGGATGTAATGGTGTTGTAGTAACAACGATAAAGATAATTGATGATGATTATTGTTATGATATAAAAGACTGTGAAATATAAATAATCTGAATAATATACTACATTTTATTGATAGCACGAATGATACCACTTATTCTGAATAATTGCATTTCAAAATTCTACAAATTTCGAAAACACTTATAAATTTTCATATGCAAATTATAAAAAAGCTAATTTATTGATTTCTTTAATTTCTTCAATTTATACTAAAAAAAATCGATAGATTGTATTGGTTCAATTTCAACAAACGTAATAAATTTTTATTAATTGAAAATTTCGAAAATTTTCCAAAAATATTTGAATAACAAAGAATGATAATATAATACATACAACAAAAATCATAATTTTTATTTTTTGATGATTCATAATAACGTGAGATATTTGAATATAATCTATTATCATCTGTAATCGCATTTTCTGATAGCCTGTGAAAATCTTCCCTAATTTCCTTTCTTCTTTTTAGGATTTCTCAGTCGGAACGATATCTCGCGAGAAAATCAGAATTTGTGAATATTATGATGAAATTTCTAAATATTCAATATTTTTTTTTACTTCTTATCTTCATATCTTTGACTAACAGCAATATTTCGACATTTAGGCTCAAAGTTTTTACTCGTCAATTGATAAATATTATTTCATTTCGTATAAGCAAATTGATGACCAATCAAATCACCGGATGTATTTTATGCATCTAATTTCCTTTTATGAAGTAAAACATTATAAGAAATATAAGAAAGTATCAGCTATTTGCATGGTAGCAGATTCCAGCTGATTCCAGTTGTGACCATCGTATATTTGGATTTGCAGAAACATCATTATCCAAAAAACAAAAGATCAGGAAAGAAAACAATAGAAGTGAAAAAAATTATTGTAATATATTTTACACTTCGATTTTTTCAAAATTCAAAATTTTGACTTTAAAATTTAAAATTATAATTTCTCTTTTTCTTATCAATCATTCTTGCATTTAAATGGAAAATAATTAATAAGTTTTGTAAAATGTTGATTTTTCCGTTCGTCAACCTATTCGTTTCTAAGTGTATATTAAAGGAAAAAAATTTTAAATAAAAAAAAATTAAATGATAAATGATATGATGAAATAAAGGCTTAAAAATCATATCCATTCTCTGTCATTTTTCATTAAATAATATTTAAGATTGTTAATCAAACCCTATTTTCAATGGAATATGTGTTTTAATTAATTTTAAGCTTCAAAATAAAGTATTTTGAAATTATAAACATTGATAAAGGTATGTTACTTTTGTAACATTTTTATCAAAATTTGTTCTAACTTCACAAATTCTGAATTACATCATAAAATTTTCAAATTTTTATTTTCTAATAATAGCATATATATAACAGATTATACAATGAACCGCCCATTGATGCTTAAAGTGATAAATAGTTGAATTTTCCATGTTTATTTCATGTCTTCAAGAAAGCTTCATACGATAATAGATGTTGTTACTGCTAATTTTACTCTCAATTATTGGAATTGCCTATCCAACTGCGCTTCCAAAGGTTTGATTTGTTGAAGAAAAAATTTTATCCTTCAAATGTTTAATACATTTATTTTCTATCCTTTGAAATTTCAAATTTTTATTTTAAAAATATATTTTAGGTAAAAAAATGACATTTCTTTTTTTCTCTTAGCAAAACATATCAAGCACAGTGAAAAATGAAACTGGCAAAGGACATTGGTATCCACCACCAATGTCACCAATGTATGGCGAAATATCACCATTTTCCTATCCAAATGGTTATCATCAGGCTTCATCAGGCTACTATCCCTATACATCTTGTTATCCACCAGCATCATGCGATAAAGTAGTACCACTTGCGCTTGATCGTAAGCTTTATTACTTTTTTGATTTAAAATTTAATAATCAACTAATTTATTTTTAGCAATCATCATTGACTAATAATACTTGGAAACCGTGGAAAAATAAATTCAGGTGAACATTTTCAATAGCTGATGAAAATGAGGAAACAACCTTTGATAGCATAACATTTTAATAATAATAACTCAAGGTTAAAATCTTAAAATTTTCAGAATTTTATTGTTCAGCACATGGGTCATTCGCGTTAGAAACAGGTACAGAGCAATTTATTTATATTAATTTCATTTTACTTAAGCAAGCAAATTTTTCAACGATTTACAAAACGGATGGTAATTTGAAACATTTCTCAATTGGAATGAATCATATTCTTAGTCTAAGTTGTCACGTCACCTTGAGAGCAGAGATTGCCGTTAAAGACTAGAAAATATGGAAAATTGCAACATTTTCGCCCCTGTTACAGTTATGAAGTCATTAATTTCTTTCTGAAGGGAGTCCATCAAACAAACTAATGCGAGAATTTTGTCGATTCACCGCGACCTCCAGCGAAAATTCGTGTAGTACCTGCTGCAAGATTGCCGCACGGCACTATACTACCTCAGCTGTCAGTTTTCAATGCTTCATTTAAAAATCAGTCAATTGCTAATTAATTATATTTGCAGTATCTTATATGGTCTGATAGGTCCTCAAGCCAGTTCTCATCAGCTCTCGTATAACTATTCGAATGTAAGCTTTCCTCTGCATAACTGGCTCTCAATTCCAGGATGAAGTGAGCGGTATAATATTCACATTCGATCCAAATACTCCACCCATACACACTCATCCTAGACCCCAGCATGCTTCACTTCTTCGAAAAAAAAGGGTCAGTTCAACATTTGCAAATCAGAAGTAAAGAACAAATCAAGTATAAGTTATTGCTAATTCCATTGCAGTTTAATTTCAGACCATTACTACTCCTACTGAGACAAACCCCATCAAATCAGCCATTAAGATGCAGAACTCAGTTAATTTAGCAAATTCGCCTGGCCTACTACCAATTAGCGGCGTAACACCATCAAACGATATACCACAATGCTTCTGCTGTGCACCGGTGACATCTATCCATTCATTCTGATACGAGATACTCACCGCTCAATTACTCATATTTTATACCTGTTTCTTGAACTTCAGACAAAGTTTATTTGCAATTTCCAAAAATTTCTAGAAAACGAACAACAAATTTAAAAATTGAGAAAATCCGTTAATTTTTCAATGTAAGCAGACTCAGTGAATAAATATTTCTCCGGCATGTGGCGAAAGTAAAACAAAAAAGGTGAGAAATAAGCAGGAAGGAAAGTAGTTAGAACAGGAGGAAGCTGAAAATTATATTTTAAACTTTGCAGAAAATGATATAAAATACTTCGTGTGATGAACCTACCAAGCATTAGAAATCATATGTAGGACAAAGGAAACGAACATGAATAACTCGCACAGTCTCCAAAATATGTGGCATAAAATCAATCATCCGTAAATGAATTTTTATTGAAAAGTCCGACTAGCGTTGTGAACACTTGAGAGGTGTCAAAAACAATATGAAAATTTCCAAGATGCAGTAGGTAGAGGAAGAACTGTAGAAAGTAAACCGACTAAAGTCTGATAGATTTTATCCAGATAATGAATGAAACTATAGACATAATAATCATCATTAAAAATCTAATCCAAAATGTTAACGAATAAAATGCTCAATGTATAAACTTTCCACTAAACTGCCACGCTAGATGAGCATGTAGTTAATAAAAGATCAGCTCCATCCTTCACAACAAAAAATCAACCAGGTTTATTTTTATCCACTCCCAGTTCACAATATAAATTATAAACTTGCAAATCGCTTGAAGTTTCGTGATTGATTTCAGCTATCAAGTTTAATACCAGATACTATGCTAAAAATACATAGCAGCTTCAAAATTACTCCATCACTAAAATGTCTTTGAAAACTTCGGCTGAAAACAACTTTCCACTTATTTTCATAACTACGAAAAACACAAACTTGAAAGAAAAAAATATATGATGGAAAACAAGAGATAAAAATCAGTACCAAATGTGTAAGGTTCTTCACAATAAATCGATCATATATAACTGCAACGAAAATTTTCTTTTCCATCTACGACTAAAACGAAACTTTCGTTTGAGATGTGAATAGACGTGAACAGCAGGGCTTATTCATTCGTGATAGTTCAGAGTAAGACCATCGACTATGCAAACATCCGTCGCTAATAATTAATAACTCAATATTCAGAACCATCTTACTTATTCAAGCAACAGTTTTCCGGCAATACAACATCATATGCTTAGCTATTTAAAGGCATATTTTTCCAATTTTCACTGAAGTAGAACGGTATTAAAATTTGAACTTCTAGTGATATTTTGCACAAAGGAGAAGCTAATGTCATACCAAGAGCAAAACAGAAGAAAAATCTCAAAACCTGAAAACAAATATCTAGAAAGATTAATCCACGAGATGAATTTTTCAATCTCATGCAAAACCATCCAACAAATTGATATCCCATCGGCTTAAGTCCACAGTAACGATGAATTTGTAAAAGAAAGAACTTTCAGGTTTTAAGAATATATCAAAAATTTCAACGTATAACGAAGGAAAACAAATTGGAAAACGAACAACGAAATATTCACATCAAATAGAAAAAGGAAACCTTTCCTGAACAACAGCAAAAGAATGCCTCTTCAGTAACCAATACCTGGCAGAGTAACTGCTCCAGTTGGCGGTTTTACGGCTGACAGAATAGGTTCTCGTGCAATAACTGAATCTGGGAATAATTGTGAATAGCTTGCGACTGGAACATAATTGGCTGTGATTACTTTGCCTGTAACATAGAACATCAGTACCTTCCTTCTGCTCGACGAGATATTGAGCAAATCACAGATCCACGATACCAAAAAATGTAATACACGAGTAATAATAGCAACAAAAATAAATAAGCTATTTCACCTTAAAAACGAAAAAAAAAAAAAAGAACCTGAAAACCATCGTCCATGTAACGCGTTCACTGATTTAAAAGCAGCAGCGACGGAAGGACATTTCACATAAACGTTGCCATTCGGGGAAGCTTTGTCGACGAATATGTGCAGTACTCCTGCAAGATCAGCAATTTCATTTCATTCAATTTTTGTTTTCCAATTCATTTCATTTTCTTTCATTTTGATATCCAAATTAAATGAAAATTGTAAGACTGAGTGTAGAATGATTCACCTCCGTTCTTTGCGCACTCTTCTATAACATCGTCTCGTACTTCATCAGCCCAAGTTTCACCTGTTTCCCTGCAGAAACAAAAAAATTGATGGCTGCATAACACGTAATTCTATTCTAACATAACACTGACACTCCGAATTTCATGCAAACCACCTTTTTTTTGAAAAGCTAAATAAGCTGGAGCATATAGATTTACTTACTGAGATGGATCAAACATATTGGAAAGCATGAAGCACTGCGTTGCAATCGGCGGAATCGCAGGACCTGTCGCAGTGACATTCTCCAACTGCTGCTGATTTTGTGCTAATATTTCTTTAGCACTTTTCGGCAATTCCAAACCGCTTCCTGTAATTCATTAAGTCCCCAACAGTAAAAATAAACTGAAAACGATAAAGACATAACCAACTTAGCCATTTTTCCAGAGATAGATTTTGTTACAGATCAGTGCTATCAAATGAAAGTCTAGTCTTGTAATCCTATGACAACATAAACATGTAATTAACATTATGACCAGAAAAGATAATGTCGAACGAAGTTGTAGAATTCGAATATTCCAAAAAAATCATATATATGAAAAACAAAACTGAAAAAAATACCTTCGGCTAGTTTAGCCATTAGATGCAAACGACCGCTTGTCCCTAAATCAATACCACGTCTGTCCGCATCATCAGTATCAAGTGTTCGTTGAGGGACTGGTGGTGGCAGTTCATCTCCTTCAACAGAGCAAACCTAAAATGTAAAGAAATCCACATGACTCATCACTTGATTTATAAACATGTTCCAAAAGTAACGTAACAATTTTATCTAATGAATTTTGAAGTGAGCACGCTTCTCCCTAAGCTTTCATAGGTTTACATAATAGGATGATGTATGAAACAATGCTGTCCCAGAAAAGACGCAGTGCGCGAAATTGTCAAATCACACCTTCATTGGACGACCTGCTAATTCAAAACCATTCATTTGTTCCATAGCTCTTTTACCATCATCTGCATGTCGGAACTGAAAAAATTGCACACGGATATCTATCATTAAGTTAGATGAGTTTATATGGCATGAGAAGTTAAAAAAAAAAACGAAAATATTTCAGTTTATTTTCTATAAAAATGCTAAATATACCGTGACATATGCATATCCTTTGGAAACGCCACTGAGATCGGTTGCAATTTCTAAGTTCTCAATCTGAAATATGTTATTTTGAGAACCCATTAAAACAAGTGTGGAAAGACCAGCGTTCTCAAAATATACCTTTCCAAATGGGTCGAAAATCCTTCCTAACATATCCTCCGTTATACTTGTATGCAACTGGCCAACATAAAGCTTCAATGGACCCGTGGTGTTTGTAGGACCAAAGCCAAGCGTTCCACCAACGGTGTTGTTAGCTGCACGGTTCCTCTCAGCCAACGTTGGCTGGATTACTAAAGGAGCGCCGAGTAATTTTTGCCCATTTAGTGCAAGAGCCTGGAAATACAAATGAATAGTTTTGGAAATTTATAAAACGTAAAGCAAAATTTCGATCAAAAACAAAATTTTAAGTTCATTTCATGACATATTTAAATACTGCCATTAATTAGTTGCGGAATTTCGAAATATCAAAGCAGAAATTTGAAGCTCTGATATTCATAAGTCTAAACTGTGAAACTATTCCACTGATGGATAGAATGTCAAGGAAAATTAATTTAGCTTGATACGCGAATGTCAAATAAAATATATGCAACCAGGAGTCGCAAAAGAATATTAAAAATAAATAATATATGAGTTCCAGTAAGTACAGTGGTATTTAAGTGATTTAATTCTCTAAAACAACTAACCAAATTAACACTTTCAATTTCCCAAAATTCCACATAACAAATTCCTTTTGATCGTCGAGTTTTCGAATCTGTAATGATTCGCACATCGCGCACATGTCCGACGCTTGAGAAAAATTCTTCCAGATCACGTGGTCGAGTTTCCTTTGCTATCTGAAATATTTGCTTTCAAGTAGTGTTGTTAAAATTAAATTCTATAAAAACTACAATTATCAGTGGAGAAAACTTTCTTAACAAACAAAGTTAGAAATACCTGTAGTATAAACACTGTACGCTGGTCACGCTCTTCAGATGTCATATCCATTTTTGCATTTGGAGGTGGTGAACGACGTGCGGTAAACGGCATCCTTAAAAATTTCATGATTGTATTACATGCAACGTTGCAAATCCCAAAACAAATCGCAGCTGCAACAGTGCTTCCTTGAAGTAAATACAATTGGTGCTTAAGCGTATAAGATCTTAGGAACTTACACATCGCGTCTTTCTGGTCCTGGAAGACGTGGTCCACGGGGTGGTGAGCGTCTCCATGGTGGAGAGAATCCACGACGATCACGATGGTCAAGCACACGAGGTCGTGACCTGTGATAAAAATTTTCCAATCTTTTTTGCATTTTCTGAGATATTCGACAGTATAAAACATTTCTGACAAGATATCAATTTTTGTTTAAAAAGCTGACGAAAGGAAATCACCATGATGGGCTCCTTCGCCTACGCTCCCTGGACCGCGACCGTCGTCTGTGGTCGCGTGATTTCGATCTTGAATGTCGACGTGATCTTGAGCGACGATGACGATCTCTTGAGCTATAATCAATTATAAAGACGTCAACAGTTCCAATATTATCTCGAAAAATATTAATGCAGAAAGTGTCTGAATCAGAGTGCCAATGACGCAACATAAAATGGTAATATCCAGATGGATAAAACCCAGTACTTTTGTACGAACAAAAAGGAACAATTTTAATTTCATTTCTTACTCGAGCGTTTACTTTAAAAAACAAACAAAAGAGAAAAAGTACCGTGACCGACGACGAGAATGGCTGCGCTTACGTGAGCCGTGTCTGCGCGACCTTGAACGTGAACTGAAAGAATCATTTCCAACATATTTGCTTAAATCAGTTTATGTTCTGGCAAACATGCATTCATACCCTCTAACCAGAATTAGATTACTAACATCAGTGTATTTATCCATCATGTGGGAAGAAAGGTTGTAGTCATCTATCACTAAAGATATGTATTACTGAACAGCACTAACTGCTCTGTCAGGTCACTTAAACATTACTGTTAAGTATAGAAAAAGAAAAAAATTCTCTAATGTTGTATCATGAACACCTGAAAAAGCAGAGTATTTAAAGCCAAATTGTTTCAGATCTATAATGAAAATTATTAGTCAGTTCACTACAACTGGTGAAATTCTTAAGCATTTCACCCCTGATCACCTGCTTACAAGGCCACAGGATGAAAAGAATAGAACTACTGACCGGGACTTCTTCTTATGATCACGGCTTGAACTTCTGCGTCGCTTCTTTTTTTCTTTATCTCTATCACGGCTGCGAGAACGGCTACGAGAGGAAGATCTATAATCATGAAAGTGTTAAAACGGAAAAGCCAAAACTCATATAATTAAAAGCAAGAATTGTAAGAAATAAAAATCCCGAAAAGTATTGTAGAAAAACACAAGTTCATCGTAAATTGCAAAAGTAAGCTCGTTGAAGTCGAATTATCTGATACTCATGGGTCAACTGCAGAAGTGGAATGAAAGCGAGGAATGATCCAGTGTTTGCAATCGTCCATAGCGTCACACGACATCGTGTTATGCCTGTAACACTTGGAGCGCGCCAGCCAGTTTTGAAAGTACTTTAAAAAAAGCATTCGAAACATCTTACTGCAGAAGATACATTCTTTTACATGAAATAAAGTGATAAGAAAAGTGAGAGAGGCGGCGCGCTCCGACTGCATTGATAGGCATCAACACATATACGACATTCTCGCGTACCTCATCGTCCACATTTTCAATTCATCCTCATTCAGTTTCCAACAAGAAGCAAACAGTTCCCCGAAACATCGATCGTGCTTTGTTCATCATTATAATGCAGAAGGTATAAGGTGACACAGAGCTGTATCAATCGATTTTATGACTCTACAACGACGATTCGACTTAAATTACGGTTTTTAATTGCTTATTATTTCTGCAGTCATTTGTGGCTTCCAGATTAAATCGCAGACACGGCAAATCCGTCAAATAAGGTTAGATACGGACATACACTACCATACATCTAAAAATTCCAAGTCCTTTATTTCCTGTGAGAAATCTTCACTGATTTACTATAGAAACCTAACCAACAATTAGACAGGCCATATGCGACAAAAATTCATGCAGTAAAAGAAACGAAATAGCTTCACTTCCGCCAAATCCCAGTTTGGAGAGTCCACATTAACCATTAGAAAAAATAACCCTAACTACAGATAGGGTAGGGCTAGTTCAATTTGGTAGAAAAAGATTATAACTTCGTCCTATAAGAGGAATGCTTGAATAACCCACTATTTAAAGGAAAAACTACAAAAAGAAAAAGCCACAAAAATAGCCTTCCGGAACCGTTATAGCTTCTACAGGTGCTCAAGGGAACGCGGCTACCTAACTTGTATAGAGACGAAAAATTTATAAAAAAGACATTGGTAAATGAAAGCACGCACCCATACCATCACTTATAAAAGATCTGGAAATGAATTCCTGCAACAGTTCTGAATTCCTGTCACCCTGTGAGGTGTTGTCTACAAAAGCTGCTGAAATAAACATATACACAATGATTAACGGAATAAAGCAAAATTACTGGTAGAAAATTTTCTTTTTTGTTTGTTTTTCCACCTACCTAGACCTGGAACGAGACCTCTTCTTATGTTCATTGCTCTCTTTCTTCTTTTTAGTTTGCGAAAGAGTCGTTCCATCCTCAGTATCCATTTTTTCCGTACCATTGGCTGCATTGGGTGTTTCCTCACCACCTTCTTCGCCGGATGGCTCCTCTTTCTTCGGTGGTTCACCCCGTATCAATGCTGCCATTGGTTCCGCATGCCCATGACCGTAATTTCGATCAGACTGAAAAACAAAATCAGAGTTATTCCCTGTAACTACATTTTTCAGGAAAATCTTGAAAGAGAAAAGCTATAATGTGCAGATTAAATAAACCACTGCTCGGAAAAACTTGGTGCCACCACGAGTGGGAAAAAAATTTGATTCGAGTGATAATGTGCTAACCAATCAGTCCACATTTACACAGCTAAACATACCTAAAAGAAGCAATGTAATGAAATGTTGCACGAAACATAACGATTACTGTACCAACAACCACTAACGTCGTAGTAGCATTTTTTTGGTCCCATCACTTGTTTCCACGCTTCGTTTACCCACACCCAAACAAGTTTATCAGTATTTCACAACCGAAGAAACAAAATTACACTTACACCTACATCTTCAATTTTGTCAAGCGCCTCCTCAAGCATTGCATCAACATCCTCCGGCTCACCCATATTTATGCAGAGGAATAACCGTAACACCAATGTCACGTGGAATGCAGCTGAAATTACAGAAAACGTGAGCTAAGTGTGTATGTCCCCCTCCAAACTCACACCACGCCTCCCCACGCATACGCACGTAACACCCACACACCATCCACCAACAAAAACGCTGTAAAAAAACCGGAGTGATCCTATGAGAAGTATCCAACCTATACAATTCATGCTCCCGAAGTAGCATTACGAACTTTACACACATGAAAGTTCGTTCAACTGCCCCGAAATGCAAATTTGATGGTTTGTGCTACAAGACTTTAGAGTTATGGGCCTCACTGGTGTTCCGAAGGGTGATTGTGATCGTGTGAGTCATGAGCCTACGCTTATAAAAATTATGTCCACGTGAGCACCATGCTGAAATCATGCAAGTACGACAACCGTCACTAAGTTACGTAATATCTTTATCAAAATTATGCAGGTACTTCTCATATTTATATGTGCTTATTTTTATAAAATCCTCATAATCGGATGATATATAGGGAAGTTATGTCTTTATTAAAATTACATAAAAATTTCATGTCTCTTTTGGGATGATATCCTATTCAAAGTCACTCAAACAAGGATCTCAAGATGCTCATATTCTTATCAAAATGACGCAAATGATGTCTTTATTGAATTTGTCTAAGCAAATATTTTTTGCGGAATTGACGTATTCAAGAAATTACGCAGGTGACATTTATCCATTGGGTTTGCGCCAAGTAATCACCATGTAAAACGATTTTGCATACTTTATTCCAGACCAAATCAGTAATGAATGAGATCTAACATTTTCAATCCGTCACAACCAGTGCCAGAGAACTAAGAATAATAATAATAATAATATTCATCTGTTGACGTGTCGTTTAAGTTATATTCGGGGCAGTAACCACATGTACGCTTACAGTTACGCCACATATAGTAGCTTTGACGTCCTTCTACATAACATAAATGTCTTTTTCTAGGGCATTCCACTTCCGCGTCATTGCATTCCGTTGGAATATCCTCCACTTTTTCAATATAATCACAGAAGTTACATGTATTAGAACAATCTTCGCTCATATGTTGTTGGTGCTCAATCCGTTCGCAAAGATCCCTCATGTATTTGCAGTAGCTTAAATTATCCGAGCAGCTTACTGGTTCAAAGTTTTCCCGGTCGTAAACTCTGAAAAACGCGGAATTCAGCGAGCTTCACAATACATGGAATGAGGATTGCAGTGTGATTTGCATGAAAGAGTGGAAAATATTGGATTTTATAAGGGAATTTTGATGAATAAGGTCTGCGATCAGGAATAGATTATCGCCTGCAAACAAATAAGTAAGCATGCTGGAGATCAGTTTACAACCAGGGCAGAGTGGATACTAAAAGTGTGCAGGATTGCAGTATCTAGATTAGGGGTTGCACATTGTTGTCTGTTGTAACCGGGAAAATGAATCGAGAAAGTGAAACCTGCAAAATGAACATGTCAAACGACATCTGGATTGCATTACCGCTTGATGCCAATAAGTGAACGTACAATATTCGGTCAGTTCGATGCAATTCGTTGCCAGATCGGCACAAACATTGTTGCAAAATCCGCATGTTTCCGGACACAAATGATACATGCGTTCAGCAGTTGCTTCAGAAAAGCATTCAATTTCCTGGAAAAAAGTATGAAGGAATTTCATCAATGTACAGAAAAAATGAAACTATGTTGCTCTATCTAACCGTACTGAACTCCTTTGCATAAAAATGGTTTTATCGGGAAGGGGAAGGAAGTTCAAAAGCAGTTTGGTCTATTTATCATTTTTGACCTTTGTGATATATAAGCATAGCAAAATTATAGATTTTTTTAGGCTTTTCCTTCGAGGCGCAATTGCATTTCGTAAAATTTTCGCAACAATTTATTTCTTATTTGTGACTTCCTTTGGGGAAAAGAAGACATTAATTGTTGTAATTTTTAAAAATCTTTTCTTTTGAAAAAGAAAATCCAATTGAACCCTTTGAGAGCAATCATCCTCCTTATCATAGCATGTTTTCGTATAGTTCATGCCTTCATAACACATATTGCATGTTCGTCGACAAGCTTTCTTCATATAATTTTCCCGAGTTTTATTAGCACTGATACACCAGCTTTTAAGCATTGAACATAATGGATCTTCATCAACGCACCAGTCTAAAATTAACCGCAATTTCAAATTGAAGTGGTCTTTCTTTTTTTTGAAACTTTTTCCATAATCGAGAACTTTTATGTGAAGCAAAGAAATTAGTTTATTAATAATTGTTGTTCTGTTGAGAAATACTGTGGAAGAAGAAAAAATGTCCATGTCAAATTTGAGGATCAAACTGAATTAAATTTTTTGAATTTCTGAATTTTATTGAAAGTTAGTCTGTGTAAAATCTCACCTGGTCTGCGTTCATATGCAAATTCAAATGGTACGTGATCCCTTTCGTTCCATGCAAATGCCACGAAAAATAACACGAATGGAACAGCAATAACAGGTCTGATCATTTTTATTGATTATACACCAAAATGTATTTGGTACTGTATGATATGAACGCGCTGTAAAAGTTTAAAATCTTTTAAATCATTTATTTGAAATTTCAATCGTAAAATTATTAGAGGTTTGAATAAAATCCAAATAAAGTGTATATCAGAAAAGTAATTGTGAAGTGACCGATTTGAAGAGAAGACTAAAATGCCAATGACCTCTGTTATGCGAAATCCATTAGCGTGACCTCCTGAATTGATTATATGCTCTGGCTAAGCATCCAACACTTCAATTTTTTTGTTACTTTTATTTGCACTCGAGTTTTTTTCTTTTGTAAATTTCAGAATTTAGAAAATTGGAATTTTTTAATTCTACTTTTCACATAGAAAACAATCGAAACCACACAATTATTCAACTTTATGATCAAAAAAAAAGTGGAAAAGGCGTAGAAATAGTTTCTATTATCAATACATAAATTAAACAAATTTTTCAGGTGTGAAAAATATATTGCATGAGAAAGAAGTATAAATTATTTGAGATTTGTTGCGATGCATTTAAATTTAAATCATTTGAAGAGAAGTTCCTTCCGTTTAACTGAATTGAAAGCCTTCTTTTTTATGACAAATTAATATCAGTATATTTTGAATGATTAATATTATATCTTTAAGAAGAAAAAGAAATACAAGATTCAAAATTTTCACTGTTTAAAATATCATTTCAGAGAATGCCAGGATTGTTAGTATTATGAAATTTTAAACAGATAATTTAATTTCAATCATTTTTTTCTTTCACAACAAATATTTTGTTGTTCTTCAAGAATTGGGCTACTTCTTTGGCTTACAGTACTTCTAATCTAATTGATGAAATTGTAACAACAACTGCAATATATTTTATTTGTTAAAGTAATCAATGAAGGAAGAATGAATGAAAGATGCCGATGGCTATTTTGGTTATCGGATCCGAACATTAAGGTGCCGAAATCATGGTTCTGAACATTCAATGGGCTAAATAGCAGTTTGCATACCCACATCACTAATCTTTAATTGTTCCTTTATCATGATGGAAGGTGTTTCGATGCTTTCCTCAATTCTAATAATGAGTCTAAGCAAATGGATCTTAAAATCTTTTGGAACAAAACATTTGATGGATTATAATATATCAATACAAAATTACAAAGGAATATCAGTAAAAAGAGCCAACCAGTAATTAATCACATAAAAGTTTTGGAATTTGATATATTATGGTTCACTCGATGTTTTGTACTTACCTATTAATTTGAATTCGAACTATTTCTATACACTATTAATTAATTCAAAATATATATAACTTCAAATCGAATTTTGTTAAACAAAATGTACAATACAATAAACAGGAAGTGTCGAATGAATGTCGAGTGAGAGTGACAGAAGTACAAATATGACTTTAATTAAGATTAATTTGAAAAAGAACAATTTTTTTATGTCAATTCGATAACTGAATTTGAAAAGGTATTTGAAAAAAGAAAAATACGACAAAAAAAGATGTGAATTTTAAGCAAATGACATCAACAATCATTGAAATAACTAATTGTTATGAAATTTAGCTTAATTAATTAAACTCATCTAATCAATAGCTTAAAAAAAAACAAGCAAAAAAATATTTGTAATAATGAAAGAATTAAATATCAATGGAAAAAAGATTAAAAAGAAATATGAAAACAAATGATACCTACCTATGTCCTTATGGGATCCTGTTGTACCAATTGCTTAAACAATACTTTTATTTGGATGAAAATTTATTATATATTTACCTTGTCAGATTTATCGATTTAATTTTTGCATATTAAGCGAAGAATTTACTTTCAAAATTGATTTATCACAAAATTGATTGTGATTCCATCCTATGAATCAGAAATTTATATCACTGAGAGAAAGAAAAGATTCTCTTCTTCATTACATTCGCTAAGCTCTGATAAACTGTTATTGAGGATAGTTTGTAATCAAACTTATGAGTACTTTGAGTTAATAATAAAGTACCATTAAAAAATTATATAAAAATATTTTAAAGTTATTTTGAAACTTAAAAAAACGACAAAATCTATTTATAATTAATTATAGGTAAATGAATGATAAGAAAATTAGAATATATTATTAATTTTATAGTATAAATTTATGATTCACAATACTTTATAACCTATGCAAATTTTTGACCATTAGAATGTTAAGAATTCTATATGAAAGAAATTCTATATTGCAAATTATAAAATTGTTGAAATTGAATTTCAATAAAAGTTTCATGGAATAAATTATTAAAATAAAACGGAATTCACTGGTAGCGGCATTTTTAACATATTTATATATGTATACTTAAGAAATCAGTAGTAGAATTGAATTAATTAAATGTTTGAATTGTTTAAATTAAATAATTTTTATGATTTAATTTGATTAAATAAATTAAAGCATTATTTTTACTATTCGTTCAAAATAATTAAAATTTAACTTTAACAGAAATGAAATATTTGATTTGATGAATTATATTATACTGAACTTTTTTGCAATGTAAGAAATTTTGCAACTAATTTAATAACTTAGCAATAGATTAAATTTTTCTATCGTAAATAGAATTTACTGGAATTAATTTTCCGTGCATAAAATATTTATTGTTGTAAAATTATTTTAATGAGGAAAGGATAACGGATGATATATGTAAATTTAAGTTATAATATTATACACATGTTATATACAAATTAAATTTTTTGAATTTTCTTTTTCTTTGAAGTAATACATTAATTACTTTTGAGATTTAATGCAAAGCTATTAATAGCTTTATTTTCATCTTATCGGATCATGAAATAACAGTTGCTTCAATTTTGACAAGCAAGTTAATGCGCTAATTAGTGTTAATTAATTAGTCAAAGTTTTGAATCAAATATATTATATTTGATTCGAAACTTTGCACAATTTTATGGAAGGAAAAAACAATATTAAAATGAATAAAGTAAAAAATGAATATAATTGTTATTATCAATTTCCAATACTGGAAACCTTCAGATAACTTTAATTTATTTAATGTAATAGTAATTATATGAAAAAAAAAGCGTATCACTTCCTTATCATTAACGGACTACTTTATTATTAATGAAGTAAATGTAATTAATTTCAAATTTTCACTTATCATTGTTACATTTTAATATAATCTTACATTTCTTTTTTATCAGCCATATTTGAACAATTTTTTTAATCAATGATAACACTATTCTCATTTCTAACTTTTCTCTTTTTTTTGGATACTAATCAATAGTATCAAATCAATAATGATAACATTTAATTTCTTTGGTATCAGTTAATACTAATTATCACACCACATATAATTGTAAAATGAGTGCATCTTTATATATCGCATTGGAATTTGAAAATGTTGAAATCCTTTAATCACTTACGATATGCATTGCATGAACAAATTACATATATATATATATACATACATACATGTCTACATACAAAGATAATACAATTATTGTTTTAGTTGATTTGATAGAATGGACGATAATATGATTTTATTATTGATCTATTGGAAGCATTTAAAATTAAAAATATTATTTCATATGATCGATCCTTCTTCTTTCTTCTTTGTTTGTTTGTTTGTTTGCATAAAGTGTTCGTTTTAAAAAATTTTTCAATTCCATTTTATATCTGGCTCGAACGAAAACTATTTATGATTAGTCGATTCAATTAACATATCATACGTAATTTTAACTTTACCAATTTTACTTTGAAATGTTAATATTTACAGTTATGTCAACAAGACCGATTGTTCTCCCGCAAAATTCATATAAGTTTCATATTTAAAATTAAAAACAAACAAATTGAAAGGAGGAAAAAATACCTAATTTTGTTCTCCATTAAAATCTTTCGAATTAGTTTTTCTTTGAAGAATTATGAGCGCCGATATTAATCATCAGAATATCGAAAGAGAACATTCTCTGCCCGTTGATATTTTATGTTTTGAATGTAATTGTTACTAATATTTTATGTCATATTTTAACTTCCAATTTTAGCAATAAAAATTTGATTCTAATTGATGAAGAAACTTTCTTGTTTTAAAATAATTCAGTAACCTTTTTAACACACCATTTTGCATGACTAATAATTTATTTTGAATAAATTAGCACGATAACAATGATCATTTTGATAAGCTTTAGATTTAATTTATTGTAAAGTTATTAAAGTAAAGAAAACTAACATACATATTTTTCAATTAATATAGTAAAGCAATAAAACCAACGAAAATTTATGACTGATATTTTATGATTATGAATTTATGATTTATAATAAATAAATAATACAGTTTGCGTGATATTTTATTTTATAGAAATTAATTTGAAAGACATTACGAGTATGTGCAATAAATACAGTTCGTATACCTGTAAAAGACTGATAACATTTCATCCAAATCAGAAATATAATCAGAAATATACATTAGTGATTTCATTTATTTCATTAATCTATAAAATAAAACAAAAATTTAGTACCGAAAGAATTGAATTTATTTACCATTCTAACATAGCAATCCTAAAATGAATTTCAGAAAAATTTCAAATATTTTTCAATTTAATATCTTTTAAATTAAATTTTTATCCTTACACCAAATTAATTGTACAGTATTACAAGCCATAGAAACACATTTAAATACAAGCAAGTCACTTTTACATTTTAAAGTTAGCATAAGAAGTTTATACTCTAATATCTTACTTCTCAAATAATCTTAATTTTGGTATATGTTTCTAAACAACATTTATTACGTTTCAAAAATGTCATTCATCCAAATCTAATAACAATTGTTACCCTATGAATAAAATAGGAAGAATTTACACATAATTAATTTTGAGCAAAAGTGGACCCACTAAGTCCCCAAAAAATGCTTATTGCAAGCACAACAACGGCAATACCACCAGTAGCACCAACGACAATATAGTGTGGATCCGATTTCAATATTAATGACTGCTCATTTTCACGAAGATAATCTCTTTCTATAGCTGTCAGTTCTTCCCGAATTGGGTACCAACTACCGGATGATCCACGAATACATTCCACGTTTTGTAAACTTTCCACTGCGATGATAAGCTGAAAAAAGAAATTGTCCCTATCATAAATGGCATTAATTTGACAATTAACAATATAAAAATTAGTTTTTTTTTGCAAAGGAAAAGTATGGAATTATCAAATATTTGCTAAGTTTTCTAATCAACTATTTGAAGTAAATTTCGATCAAAATTGAAAAAAGTTTAAAGCACCTCATGAAGATCAACGTCTGCAGACATCCAAAGATAACCGTCATTTTGAAGGAGTAAAATTAGCTGACAAACAGATGGCAGTTCCGGAAGACGAGTGTATAGTTCAATTTGCATTTCAATGGTAAGTGGCATCACTATTTCATAGAAACTGTAATTGGCAACACCATCGAATGCGCGAACAACAAGTTCATAGTGGTTCATCGGACATCTTCAATTTCATGAAATCAAAAGTGAAATTTTAAAAAATTAACTAAATAGACAACTATGAATATATTGCTTCTTTACTCGTAGGATTAAAATTTTGGACAATTGTGAGAAATTTATTTGTTCAGTAGTTTACAGATCAAATCAATGATGACGGTTGTTTTCGCATCAACAATACCTTGTATGAAGAAATCTAAATTTGGGATTCAAGAATAGCCTGTTCCTAATATACAACAATCTTATGACATTCAAGGAAAAAATCTTCTGTTCTAGCAGAAAATAACTGAAATAGATTAATTTGTCTATTTCGTCATGAATATTTGCGGGAATAAACCTAAGTTACTAAAAAACTAGAATATTTCAAAAAATTGAATTCATAAAAAACTAACCGACTACTATCAACTATTTGTAAAACCTGCTTTTCGCCATGACATAACTGTGCTGTGTTTATAATTGATTCCAAATGCTCCCAGGTGCTTACAGTTTGAACATTAAGTAATTCATGAGATCCAAGGAATGAGAAAAATTCTTCCTGAAAATACATTCTTTTTAAGATTGTAAGATGATTAGATAGCTTGATGATTTTGTAAAAGATTTTGTTGAGATATTTGTGCATATTTTGATTAAATGAAGAAAATCTTAAATTTCATAATCATTTCAATTAATTTAGAAAAGGTCGTAGTTGAAATCTCCGATTACCTACTTTATCGTTTACGTCACCGTCATAGCGAAATAACTGCCCATCAATAGCATAAACCAAATGAGGTTTTGAACCATTATGAATTGATCGATCGTTGAAGATAGGACTATTCCGGCGATTATCGTAAAATTGATAAGTGAAGTATTCTTGCTTTGCTGTCAGATTATTCTGATTTGAGAATTCGCGAATCCATCGCGGGATCTTTGGAAAGATGCGAAATTATTAATTTCATAATTTTTCTCCCTCTTTTCTTTTTTAAGGAAAGAATAACATACACATAAAATTAGAATTAAATTTTTAATAGCAAACATTCAAAGAAAAGAATTTCGCTTGGTGGAATGTAAACTAAGATATCGAATGAAATCATTTTGGCGCTAATGTTCATCACCTAGAATGAAAATTACCTGCGACTGTGTAGGATAACATCGTCTAAAGCAAAAAAGTATCAAAAGCCTTTCATTGAATTGCAATTTTTGTTTAATAGTATCAATGAGACGTTGAGTTCGACGATCATAGACGTTATTCTTGCCATTCTTCAAAAGATGAACCTCACTTCCAAATCTTCGATCCCAAGTTTGAATTGAAGTACCATCTATTAGCTTCCAAATGGCTACAATAATTAGTGCACATTGCACTACGAACATTTATCAATTTAAGAAACTGAAAGACAAACATATTATCCAACAATTATTCTACAATCAATACCATTTTCGACTTAATATTGATACCATTCATAAACTTAATATTACGATATTGACTAATATCTCTCGTCGGCATAATTTAAATTTGATCATTAGTTAGAGTAATGTATACAAAGATAATAAAGAATTCATTTCTTTTTCTGTGAATTGACATTCAAGTCTTTGATTATATTCTAAGTGAGGAATGATAAGCCATATCATTTCGTTCATCTTTAAAATACATTTCACTAAAGAAAACGGATAGAAGTAAAGATGACTAAGAATTAAGCAAGCATATTTTTTTTTTTTAAGATAGAATATTTAGTTAAATAATTATCAGCAAATGAATTAATGTAAATGATCAATCTGTGTATTTATTAAACTTTGAAAATTTTCACCCGCCTAAAATATTATAACAACTTTTGTTTAACACTAAAAGTTTAACGTTTATATTTCAGAACTTTCATAATGAATTGAAATCAGATAATTTTGCAGTAAGAAAAAGTGAACTTTAGAGAATGATCGCTGATGGAACTGATAAATTTTATCATCTTATCAAATTCTCATAGTTTCTTCGTGATTTTAATTATGATAGAAACTTAATCATTGAAGATAATTTACGAAAAAAGGTCGTAAGATGTTGAAAGGAAAGTAGAAACAGCTGATGGAGATTTATTCTATCGTTTCCTCTTCCTCCTTCTCTTCCTTTCCTTTCTTACATTCTTCTACAATTCACATCTCATTCCATTCATCACTTCAAATCAAATCTATCGCCACCGTTCATTCCCCTTCTTTTCTTCATTTTAAATAAAACGAATTTAAGCGGTAAACAGACATACACACACACACATACATATATACACATACACGTATATACACACAACACACATGTATATATATATACAATATACACACATACATACATAGATACAAATGTATATACGCATACACACATACACACATGCATACATACATTCACAAGCAATACATTACTATTCGTCTTTCGTGAACTAACAGTATATCATTGATCGTTGTTGGTATAAAGGAATAAATAAACTAACTAACTAACTAACTAACTAACTAACTAACTAACTAACTAAACTAAACTAATTCAGTGATCGATAGAGATGTGAACTCGAAACTAAGAAGCTAAATGGGACGAACACCTTTAACGATGAGAGCAACTGATCCAGCAACATTCAGTATCCATTCAACATCCTCTTTCCTTTCACTACTCTCCCATAACCAATCCCCCGCTCCCACTCCCGCTATTGCTGATATTATTCAATATCAATATTTAAACATCAACCGTCCTGTTTTTCACATTTGGTTGGTCAGCCTTTTTTTTTAAAAAAAACAACAGAAATCGTTCATTTCAGAAATTTCTCCTAATTTCCAATTAAGCTATCATCATTTGATAAAATCACATTTCAGATGTAATAATTATGATAAGATAGTTAGTTTATCACTACGATTTAATAGATTAATCCAAGTACTAACAATATTATTATTTTAAGTTTTTAAATTAATCACTTTTAAATATTGTTATGCAAAAAAATTACTAATTACAATCATAATTACATGTATTCATAATTATATATATATTGTCAATCGAATAATTCAATTAATGAAATAAACAGTGGTGAAATTATTTGATGAATTGATAGTTTCATATTGATATTGAAATGGCCGGAAAATATTCTCTCTAATTTTTTTTGTGCCAATTTAAACAGTATTCCTGAATTTCATTTCAAGTTTACATTTCCACATTTGTTAAGAAAGTACAAATGAATGAGTCAAAAAATTTTCAAACAATAATTTGATGATTTAACTTTTCGTTTTTTTCCTTTCTTATTTCTATCAGTTGCCAATATCGTATTTTTCTTCACTATCATAAATTATAATTATAATAATTAGAATTATTCATCTATCATAAAGTAATTTCATTATTTAATTAACAAAGTAATAAAGGAGAAGTTAAAAGAAAAAAAATTAATTTTTATTACAATTAAATTGAAATATTGAAATCGATCATTCATTTTGTTTCCTTTCTTCTAACGAATTCCTTTTCCAAGTTTAATTGTTTTCATTTTATTAATGTTGTAATATTTATGTACGAAATCTCATTAATTAACGAAACTCTTAAACTACATCTATCCTATACGTCACATATAAGAATTAAATTTTACAAATATATTCTTTACACACATTTTAACTTCTTTCACAGCAACGAGGCAGAATTTAACGTTTATAATGAAATTCTGTCTGTGTGTAAATCCATTTCACCCAATTCTTTTTTTGCTTATTTAAAAATGAATTTTCACAATTGTTTGTGACAGCGACAAATCAAAACCTCTTCAACTTCCTCTTTCTCTTATCTTCACTAAATATTCAACGAAATTTAATTACAATTTCTATCATTATCATATTATTATTATTATAAGATTGTTGTTAACACTACTATAATTTTTCTCATAATACTGTTGTAATTACTGCAATTAAATTAATTTATGATAATTGCTCAAAATATTCTATTCACTTAGTTTCATCTTCCGTTTCTGATCAAATACTGTTTGTTTTTATTCTCTTTTATGAGTTAAGTGGTTATCAAAGTTTCAAAATTATGAATCGTATTGTTTCAGAAATTTATCATAAGTTTAATCTTCATTCATTATTATCGTTATAACTATGTTATCATCCCAGTCATTGTTATGCGTATCATCTCTGCATCGTTGTTATTCTTCTTATTATTATCCTAATTCTTGTCAATTATTTCTATTATTTCCATCATCATACCTTTTAGTTATAAGTTTAGAAAATAATATTTTAATTATATTAAAATTTTTTTCTTTTTTTAGAAATTTAATTAACCATTACTCAACATAATTATACCATAAAAATTAATTAAGGAGCGATATTAATTTCACATTTTCAAATATTATAATTAACAAAATATGTATTATTAAATCATAATATTTATGTTCAAAACATCTTTTAAGCAATATTACGAGTAATTAAATTTTAAATGTAAAATATTTTAAATTATTTTCATTTTAAAACAAATATTTAAAGTTGTTCGATAAGATTGATCACTTAATTAATGAATGTTAATTTCGTCTTTTCATATTTGTTATTTAAAATTATGCAAAAATAAGCATTTACTAATGTTAATGATGTAGATCCGTGATATTCTAAAAATAACGTGAACACGTAATATACGTATGTTTTTATCTCTTTTATCTTTTTCACTTATCACATCACTAAAAACACCTTTTCACGTATTAATCATTTTCATAATAATTCCTCTGATTTCCTTCCTATTTGATTTTTTCACTTTAAATTTCGATAAATTAGAAAGCATTTCGAATATATTTTAAAGAAGTAATTATTTTTAGCTGCAATTGTGGACATACAAAAAGTACATTGAACTACGAAAGTTCAAAAAAAAAACGTAATAATTGTAAAACTAATTAAAAATCTTTCAAAATAACTCTTATCATATATGATAAGATGAATGATAAGAAATCTGGAATGGTAAAATCTGAAAATGACAAGAAATCTGGAGCAGTGAAAATTCGAAAATTCTTTAAATGAATATTCCAAGTTATATTACAATCAATTAATTATTCTAATTAATCATTATTTTATAAAAAGAAAGAAGAAAACAAAAATCACTCTCAGTTTTGAATACTTTGGTATATTTAATACAGGAAATTATAAAATTTAAGTGAAAATTAAAATTCAAAAAATTTAAAATTTAAAAACAAAAGAAAATTTTAGTAGAAAATAAATATTATTGATGGTTAATTTATACAAAAATGATTGGTCATTTTTGTAAGTAATTATGAAATTAATTTTTCAATTTTAATTTTATTTCTTTCTCTGTTTGGTTTTTGTTGAATTTTGGAAAATGATAAGTGGTGATAAATGATTTCAGATGTTCGATTAAGAAATATGTTATAGACTTAATGCAATTGTTTTAAGAGCAAAAATCAAACTAAACTAAAGTTTTGAGTCATCAAATAAAATCTTTATGTATTAAACAAAAAGCTGTACAAGATGTATATACTATATACACACACACACACACACACACACACACACACACACACACATACGGAGGATTTGAAATTGATTTTTACTATCATTGAGGTGAAGAAGAAATGTAAAGGTGAAAGTGAGAATATGAAAGCTCTCTCTCTCTCTCTCTCTCTCTCTCTCTCTCTCTCTCTCTCTCTCTATTACATTTACATTTCTCTATTATTAGAAGATATAATGATGTTATATATTTATTTAAATTTATCATAATTAGTTTACTTTTTCTGGAAAAAGAAAATTAATTTTTAGTTAAATTAATTCTTTTGATTTGATCAAAATTTTTAGTATGTAGAAAATTTTATTAATTTATCAAAAAATCATTAATTAATTAATTAATTAAAATGGAATTAGATAAATCGTTTTCTTAAAAATTTTTCAAATTAATGTATGATCATCATTTTGATGCTAAATGTATCCGTGAAGGTTATATTACGTATTGTATGACCTAAATAGTTAAACTATTATGATAACCATCAAATTGGCCGATTTGAATTTTACATTCATTCTTCAAATACAATAATTGTGCAAAATTTTTATCACATTTCGAATGCTTTATCTATAATATTTTCATATCATTTATTTTACTCGATCAATTAATCAATTATTAATTTAACTTTTATTATTAAGTTATTAGATCATTAATTTATATGTCATCTAGGAAATAATACAATATATAATTTTTGAATTGTTTAAGCATCAAATAAATCATCCATTATAAGCGTTAATGAATTTTTTGAATTCTAAAATGAATACTCACTAATTTATTAGGTAGAATTTCATGTACATCTTAAATTATCATCTGATTATCAGAATGAATAAAATTAATTAATTCGAAAATATCTTTCTTACTAAATTGAAATGTTTCACTTTCTAATTTTTTTTCTCCCCCTATCATTTATTCTTTCAAAATATTTTGCAATCAATCAATAATAGAAAGATCAAAAAATGATATGTAATAGTTCATGAACTTTTCAACATGTTGAAATGATAATTGTTACTACAATGTAGGTGGAAAATATTGATTGAATGTAATGAAATTTTACAAAGAATCATAATTCTCTTTTCATTTAAATTATAATTACCTAGGATACATTGAGTTAATGTTTGGTAAAATTTGATAGTCAAATTTTAATTCAGAAATTGAAAATTATTATTGAGAAATCAAAAAAGCGCAAATTTACGTCGTCGTCGTCGTTGTCGTCGTCGTCGTCGTTGTTGTCGTCGTCGTTATCGTCGTCGTCTATTAAATTATGTACTATTATATTTTAAAATGTCAATTAAATTTTCTTTACATTTTAATTTTAGTATTCATTTTATTTAACTTATTTCTTTTTTCTCCTTTTTCTACCACAATTTCCTACTTTCATTTGTTATTTTAGGATTGAAATGTAAGATTTGAAGTTGAAATTGAAATAACCTATTTATTTTCATTTTGTCAGACAATTATAAGTTTCTATCATTGTTCATTTAACTTCATATTGCCTACAACTACTATCCGTTTTTTTTTACGTCTTTAAATTTAACGATAAATTTTAAGTACAAACCATTTAGCGTAAAAATGAAATGAAATTAGTAATCCAATTAGAAACTTCTGACAATAGACATTATCATTTGGTAATTTTTATCATTTAATAAAAATTAAAATTAGGTAATGAAAATTTTTTTTAAATTCCATTATATCCTGTTGTTACAATAATAAATGTTGAAAATGTATGAAAAAAAACAAGAACAACATGACTTTTATTTTTTTGCTATTAATTAATTAACTAATTTTAGTAATAAAAGTAAGCTGAGAAACTAAAACTATCATTTGAAATATCTGAGCTTATTATTTATATCAGTTAAAAAAAAGATAGAATTACCATTCTTACATCATTTAAAATCTTATTTACATAATCATACGTTTTTGCTATGCAATAAACATGTGATAAGATGATTGATGATTTTTATTATCACTAGTAATAGTGATAATAGTGATTTGAAAATTTCATTTCTTAATATAAGATTTTGATTATACTTCCTCTTTTCCTCTTTTTCAGCATAATATATATATATATTTTAAATTTTTAAAGGATCATTAATGAACGGTATAAATTGTAAGGTATATATTGTTGTTATGTAAGGCCCTCCTATCAATGCAGTTAAAAATAAATGAAGGTTAGAGAGTTGAAGAGGACATTTTGATAGTGATGGCAAGGCCGACCGACCTTCAGAAGAAATATCTTCTTGTTAGTCTGTCTCTTCAGCAACGTTTTTTTCTTCGTTTTTTATTCCTAAGTGTTATTACCTGTATCTTTCAAGGACTTCCCCTCCCCCGCTCTTACCCCGCCTTATATTACCATCATTCATCCGGCATTCTTCTATTACTTTTATTGTTTTTTTTCCGTTTCTTCCTGAGATCATTTCGGTTTTTATCGTATATTTTTAACAATAGGTAGATAGCTTTTATTGAGATATTTAAAATCTTATCAATTATTCATATGTAAAAACATCATTTGCTTATTTAATTAATATCAGTGATATTGAAAACTTATAACAACCTTAAGAATCTCTTATCAATATAATTGATAACCTCTTTAATTCCTAATTTTTTTATATTAAGATTAACAGAGATGTTCAAATATTTAATACAGTATATTTTTGTTTATAATATAATTATAAATGAGAGTAAGAGAGAGAGAGGGAGAGAGAGAGGGAGGGAGAGAAAGAACGACTGATTAATAATATTTTCCAAAATGAAATTCACAGTGTGACCTGTTTAATCGCCTAACTTTTAACATTTAATATTTTCACTTTCTCCTTTTTTATCTGTCAATAAGCAATTATCCTTTATTGAAAATATGCAAATTTTTATGGTTATTGTGTTAGTTAAAAATGAACGAACTCATCAGTGAGAAAAAGATTAAAGGTCATTTCATTTCTATTCATAGCAAATATTCAATTCGATGAGCAAAAAAGGAGGAAGAAACTAAACGAATAAATTAGAGCATATGATAAATAACATTAATTCTTCACGATTATGTCAGAGAAAGAAAAATAGCATCATTATTCATTGATACTGAAGGAATTATTAATTACCAATAGTAAATTTTATTAAAATTGCAGTATGAAATGGTTGAAAAAATTATAACACCAGAAACAAGAATAGCAAAAACGATATCAAGTAATGTAAGAAATAGTATATTTGGACACATATCACCGCTTGTTGGCCGAAATAACAACAATATCAATCGTTGTACATCACCCAAAACCAATCCAACGATAACAAACCGATCGTCAAGGTATGTTATATGCAAATTTATACCTGCATATGGAATATGTATTATGTGTAGCATTGATATCGTCGGATATAAAACAATCCAATAATGCTAAATTACTATTATTGGGATTGAATAGTATTAATGAATTTTGTTTAAAATTAATTTCTAAAATTTAATTTTTGAAAATCTTTTGAATATGGATTTTTCTTTTATTAATATTATTAAAAAAGTAGATTGTATTAATTTTCAAAAATAAATCACATATGCAATTTATTGGATTGATCAATTCAAATCTTCTTTTTTCATTATTTTTTATTCGATCATTCATTTAGTAAATATTATCATTAGAAATTAAATAGACTGCATATTAAACGATTATAAGTTATATTTGAACATATGCTTATATAAGCTTCAACATACTTCTATATCATGAAATCATCACGTATTATTACGATTAATTTCCTATTGTTTTTGTACCTGTAGTGCTTTATTTGATTTCAAAATATATATGCTATTTACAAATTTCCTTTTTCATTTCATCCAAAACTCTTTTGAACTACAGAGTTTAATTTTTAATCCCTTCTTTTTAGCAGTTAATAAAATTTTCAGTTTCACTTCTTCAAAATTTTTCATGAGAAAGAGATTAAAGGATGTGAAATTGGATTTAAATTATATTGAAAAAAAACAATCTCATTGTTTGTTTATATATTTGTTTATTAATTTCTTTCTTAATTAAAGAATGAAAAAAAAGATTTCGATCATTATTTGTTTTAGCATCAAAAAATTAATCGATCAAGATCATTTCCATTATGAGAAAGTTGAAATAGGATCAATTGATATTGCACTGATCGCTTATGTACCCAATGCAACATCACCCAACGAACAACTTCTATTGCAAATCGAAAGTGCTGGCCAAAAATGGTTTCATTTTATTCTTTTCTTTTAAAAAAAACTTTTTACAATTCTTTTGTTTTTTTGCTAAATTACCAAACATTCTTCGTTAACTATAAATTCATAACTGTAAAATATTTCATATTTTCTAGCAATAATTGCTGTATCCTTCATATCATCATATCCTTCATATCCTTCCTTCATATTCATATCTCTGGATTATTTTTCTCTGAGAGTATAATATACCTTAACTATCCTTCCTTCTCTCTCTCCCTCTCTTTCTCCCTTCCCCTGCATTTTTCCGACGAATTTTCAAACTATTTCATTGTTGTTAAATTTCTACTTTGTTGCAAAAAAAAATGAAATTGAATTCATTTCGAAAATGGAATGAAATTACTTATAATTTTATAAATTTTTGCAGAAGAGGAAAGAGATTGACCAAATTTCAGGCGTATTAATCGTAGCATTGATCAGTTATGTGAATTCGATCAGCAATTACATCGTTGTGTATTCGATCGTTCACAGAGTCATTTGAAGGAATTAGCATTAGAGCTGAAAGAAAGTGATCCGGAAAGTGCTAAAGAGTATATTCTTATTTATCTGCAACAATTGTCACATATTACTGGCAATTTAATGCGTTGCTATTCTATTTTAAAATTCTTAGAGGTTTGTTTAATTTCTTTTTCAAAGTAATTATTGCGCAAAATGATTGACTAATTAATGTCTTCTTTTATTCAATTACGAAATATCGTAAAAAAATTAGGTGACAGCGTCACTAGTAAACACAAAAAATGAAAAACCTTTTTTTTTGCACAGATCTCTTCATCTTTTCTATTGATAATATGTTTTTTTGCATTATTCTTATTTCTGATTGATAATATATATATATATATATACTAATTAAAATTTTCAATAACTCTGCTGATTAGATCAATCGATACATTTGAAATTTTTAGTTAAATGAATTAAATAAATGTTGAAAAGTAAATTTTCGAAATTTTACGACAGTTGAAAAAAAAAATTATCGCATATTTTTATTTTTAATTTCAGATCGATAGTCATGGAAATCGTTTTCTAGCAGCGGAAGAAACTCCTATAAATACACCGGCTATAGCGAGCGCAATTGTTACCAAAGATTTCAATGCAGAAACATGTGATCAAATTTCATTACGGGTATATTTTAATTCATTCTTAACTGGAACAATTCAATAATATAAGAGTGAGTGTAAATGAGGAAATTTAATACATACATTGATCTAAGTAAAAGTTCATTTGAATCTTGAGCTAATCTTGAGTTATTGCTACAATCACTTTATACTTTAGGTATAATATCAAATCATTCCGAATTTTTACTATTGCATAACTATTGATAGTAATGAAAATGAATCATCATTTTTGAGTAAGCGATTAAACTAAATGATGAGGATAAAATAAATAATTGAGTGAAGAATTGTCACCAATCTCTATGAGATTTTATTGATTAGTGAAATGAAATGAAGTCTATATTAAGGCTTATCAATTTACTTAATAATTTTGTGAAAAATCCTTGCAATTACAAAAAAGGAATTAATTTTATCAAATTTTCTCCTAATAATTTCAGTATATATCAGATTGAATTTTCTTTTCAAATGTTACTTTGATCTTTGTTATATGTGAAAATGTAACGATTTGTAAATGAAAATATAGATGAAATGATGAAATAACATATAAATGCTATTATAGGATGAGAATAAAAGTAAGTTGAATTTGAAAAAGTATTAATGATATAGTTGATGATTTCAAGTTTTGCATGAAATATTTTACAAGAATTTCAAAGAGTATATAATTATATAATGGATACATATACCTTATGATGGATAAATCAATTTAATACTTTATGAAAGCGTGAATAAATAATTACGAAATATAGTTCTCTAGATCATTTCAAGGTTGTTATCGTTAGAAGGATAAAATTCTGTTTAAATTGAATAGATGAATGTTATTTGGTTCTTACTTCTATCAATCTCCCATCATTTCATTTTATTTCATTTCATTTCCTTCTTCCATCTTTCTTCAATCTGTATCCTTTTCCGCTGAACAATTCATACCTTTTCTATATTTCCCCGCAATTGATTTGTTGTTTATTTCTTCATCTAAACATCTATCTATCCATCCTACGATCATCCTACAAATTTCTGCGATTATTTCTGTACAGATAAATAAGATGTTTTTGTTTTCTCCTCCATTTTTCTTCAAAAAAAAATTTGAAATTTTCCTTCAAAATAATAATTTTAATAATATATTTCATCGATCAAATCTCATTTTTCTACGACAAACAAAAAACAATAAGAAAATGTAATTATTTGAATTTTGTTTGATCTTAAAAAGATTTTTACTATTCCCATTATCACTTATCAAAATAGTTTATTGTTTTTAAAAAAAAATTTTTTTTGTTTATAAATTTAGTGCTACTTGAAAATTCAACTCTTTAAAAAATATTTTACACCAAATTGATATAATCATGAAATTTTCATCGAAATGAATTAAATTGAAAAGTGTAAATAACAGATGGCACCGATCCTCTTAATTGATATGTTAAATTTTTTGAATTCTATTCTCTATGCTTAATGTTATTTTTTGATAGCATTAGATTGATTATATTAGAGAAGAGAAATTGTACATGATATTTTCATTTTCATGCTAATATTTAAAAACTTTTTCTTCCACTCATTCATCTTATCTTCTTCCTCTTCAGTATTTTATGTTTACGATAATAAAATATGAAAATTTATTTTTCAATTTTTATATTAAATTTCAAAAAAAAAATTTTTTAATACAAAATATGAAATTTGATAATTTCTACCATATTTATATTTCTTTTTCAATAATACTTAGTTTCATTTTATTTTTATGTTATGTTTTATATTGTTAATGAATTTATTGAGAAGCTTTTTTTGCTACTAATTAATTTCTCTTGCTTAATTATATTATACACTATCAGAGTAATGATATCCTAAATGACTGATTAGATTAGATCTGTCAAGTTGAATCATTACACTGAAATGTTGATGAATTAGCTTTAAGTATTATCATTCTCATAATAATATGAATAACGGGATAGGATCAAATTCATTCTCTAACAATAGAGTTATCTACTTACTTTAATGAATAAATAATTAAATAATATGCATCTTCTGAATATTATTAGGCTGCAAACATTATATCATTTAAGATTAATTTAATAATTAAATTTCGATGATTTTGTTGAAATTAAGTTGATCATATATAATTAGGTATATAATTAATTAGATCATATATCATATATAATTAGGCCTTTATCGTACACTTCGATTTATCGTAGTAAACCTATTTATTTCGTTTCATTCAATTTTAATTCTTAATTTTGAAAAATAAAAAAAAAACAGAAAGCGAAGAGAATGTTATCTTTACTACGAATGCTCCATATTGACCATTGGAAATAATGATGGGATCGACAGTTGTTACCTTCTAGTTATCCTGTAAAGTGATCTAATGATGGAGCCATCAAATGTAACTGATTGGTCAGGAGGATAGGTTGGTAGCAATCCCTCTTTTAGTGGTATATTTCGAGTTTTTATGTATTTTGAAACTTGTTCTACGAAATGAAAATATTTCTACAAACAAAAATAATCGATTTTCAATTTTCAGGGTAATAACTTCTACCGCCCATACAATTTCCTCATTTTAAAATTCTTAAATTATTTTTTTTAAATAGAACATCTTAATTTGATGCTTCTCCTAACCTTTGATATTTTTTCAATTTTTTCTTACTTTCATAGAACTGATGATTGATTACAATTGCGTATAATGCACCATTTCGATCATGATGACCTAAATGATCTTACCGCAACTCATCGTTACGCATAACTGTCCAACTTGTATCGCTTATCATTATTGGAATCATTTTACAATCTTCCATCATGTGATTGTCACTACCATTCTCGATTTCTCTCTGTTTTCAGGCTATTGAAGCATTTTCCAAACACTAAAATAAATGTCTTCCAAATATTCTGAACATATATTTATTATTCTATGCGATACATTTTGTAAGTGATAGCCAACTATATCTTATAAGTAAATGATAGCGAAATCTCATCCAATATGTTATTGTTATCTCGTTTTTCTGCAAAATATTATCACTCAATTGCTCTAAAATTACGTTAAGTTTCATTAACAGTTTAAGCTATCCAACAAAATGTTTAGATATTTGCACGGTCTTTTTGACTAAATCGTTCCATCATTTTAAGGAGTAGCTTAAGCCTTTCCATTTTTTCATTTCATTTCAAAATAGATTAGCTGTGGATGAAATGAATCAAAATGAGATTATTTAAGTTAGATTAATATAGCACTAAAGATTCTTTATAAAATGTGCATATTTAAGATAGCCGAAAATATTCGGCACTCAGATAGACATACGACGCTATTTGCGCGTAGCCTAGCCTGTCATGCTAGATGAAATGATGGACGTCGAAACTATATGGATAACATTTAACTTCTACATGTCATTTAACTTGCACTTTCGATCGATTCTTTTTTTTCTTTACAACAATGGTACCTATCCGAATTTGTGGTACTTATTTAAATCTCGTCTTACACTAATACATCTCCAAAAACAAACTCCTTGATTATACTTACTTATGTTAGCATAAATTACTCAATGTTTCACTTTTATTTCTGCATATTTACTTGACAGCAGTAGCAAAACAATCCATCCATTATTTATTCTTTATTATTCATTTACTCATTTCATTTTTAATATGTATTATTTAATAAATTATGCTATATTATGCTCCCAAAATCTTATTTACTACATTAATTGAATGTTATAAATACCGTACCATACTTCCAAAGATTTTTTGTTAATTCAACAAATAATTCTCAACTGATTTCTTCTCATACTTCTGAAAATAACCCTTTCATAAAAATTGTTCTAAAAAGAGATCATTCCTTTTTTTTGTATAGCGCACATAAAATTTGCAATAAACAAGCGATGTAAAATGAATTAAAAAAATGTAGTTTAATGTTTTTTCTAAATTTCAGGTTGGCGATATCGTATCTATCATCGAAAAGGTGACATCTTTTAATAACAAAGATAAATCGTGGTGGAGAGCTAAACTGACAATTGCCAAAAACGGAAACGGCAAAATTATTCTTGGCAAAAATTTCGAGGTATTTTCAAGGAATCAAAATTTTAGTATACATCTTTTCGAAGACTGTTAGTGAAGTTTCAAATTTGAAAATAATTAATTAATTAAATAATTGGCGAGTAATAATGTTATGGAAACATGAAATGTAATAAAAATTTTTGCTAAATTGCTAAAATCTGTAATAACAAGAGTTTAAGGCAGTTTTTCGCGTAGTTTTTCTTAGATTATGACTTTATTTCTCTGAGATAAATACCGCAGGATAAATCCCCGCTTTTCCAGTGGTTATACTGTAGAGTAATAAGAGATGCTTGGAAACATTTTTGAGAAATCTCGAGAGAATTTTTTTCCTAACGAAATTGCTATGTGATTCAATATAATTGAAGTGTGTGATATAGAAAGTATATCTGTATAGTAAAGTATACATAAGTATGCGAGCATTGAACGGTATGTTCAATTGCTTACGCTACGTCTAGGACATTTTAGGTCGGATTATTTCCGAGTGAGTGTGTCAAGATATTCGACGATAAGGCAGGACCACCAGCTGATCAACAGCTATTTTCCTCAAAAGAAGACTCAGTTGCCACCCCTGTCAATGGCCGCACTTTCTTGAAACCAAACACAAACTTGACACAAGCGTCCAAGAAATCAACAGGATGGCATCCACCGCGACGGGATCGTTCCTTAGTACGAACGCTGTTACGAAGACACGCGGAACGACAAACTCCCCTCGTGTTCGGGACAGATCTTGTTGAATATCTGCAGAAAACCGGTGAAGACGGTGGGTTTTCAAATTTTAGAATTTTCAGCCCAATCTATGCTTCACTCTTCGAATGGTACACTATGTTTATTGCTGATGAATCAACTGTCATGACCTCATTTAGGTTATTAGAGACTAATTTAATCAGATAAATTGAATACAATTACGGATAACTCATAACATATTTTATATTTAAACACATGACGATGATGTTACACGCAACCCACTTCTAAACGAAAATTTACTCTAGTTTTAAAACATTAAGAAATGGTACGTGATCAGCTTTAACTAGCAAGCACATATCAACCGCTCAATTTATTAATTTATTTGAATTAAATATTTATTTGGTTATATTTTTACAGTGCCATTAATATTGAAAAAATGTGTGGAAGTGATCGAAAAGCATGGTATTGTTACTGGGGTTTATCGCCAATGTGGCATACAATCAAATATACAAAAACTCAGGTTTGATTTTCCATCTTTTTATATTTGTATTATCAGTTCACCTGTAATTCTTCGATTTTAACTCATCTGTTATTCATCATTTTGCTTTTTCTTCTTTTGCAAACTTACTAGAAGTGACACTTTGTATTTCTGATTCAATTCTATTTCAAGCAAAAGTTCAATATTATCGAACATGCTATGGTTGTTTCAGGAATGGCTTCGATTCAGGACATTTGCCAGATTTACGTGATGAAGCTATCTTAAAGGACATTCATTCCGTTTCATCGCTTTTGAAGCAGTACTTTCGTCAGCTACCAAATCCATTGTTCACATTCGAACTTTATCCGGAATTTATTGTAAGTTATGTTTAATGGAGTTATAAAATATAGCAGAATATTATTTTCATGACAAACCTGTAATTAAAAAAAATACATGAAGCTTTTAACTGTGTGCACATTTACTTGTTGAAAGTGGCAGATGGTAGCTCGTCGAATGTTAATTCAAATCACTTGACAGATTTTTCAATTATTACTACCATTTCAATCATGCAATCTTACTTAATACCAAACTGATATCACAGGGTGCATACGAAACAACTGATGAAGAGCAAGCCAATCGATTTAAAGACGTCATTGGAAAGTTACCACGTGAGCATTACAGGTAATCATCATATATCTAAGTAAGCATAAATATCACATCTGTCAAATAACCGTTCGTCTTTAGGCGGCAGAAATTTAGGACAGGTAACAGGAACATAGTAAAGGAACATGTACATAATATTAACTTTATCAGATTACTGTTGCATGGAAAACTTTTGCACCAAATAATTTTTGACAGTATAATTGCTGCTTTCCAGGATTAATAAAAATTTATTTACAAATTTATGGTAATATTTTTCAAAATTCAAAATTTCATTTCGTTCAATAAATAATAATTACCTTTATTTTCTTATTTGTAGGACGGCAAAATATTTGATCCGTCATTTGACCAAATTATGCCAATGTACGCATCTTACGGATATGAACTCCAAAAATCTTGCAATTGTTTGGGCTCCAAATTTATTCAGGTTTTCAATTTACTATAATTTCCTTTCCCTTTTTTATATGTATTTATATATGTTTAAAATAAATTGTTTCAAGAATTTCTTGAATCTAAAAATTTTTATTTTCTTAATAAATATTTCAGATGTCCGCCGTGTATTGACGACGATTCTGGTACCAGTGGTGACTCATCACTTTTACAGGGTCTCAATGCGCAAACGGGTCTTTGTAATTATATACTTGCCCATGCAGTTTACCTATTCTCACTTGAAAACGACTCTCTTTCACTTCCAGAAAGTTTGTTCATTTCATATACGATATATTATTATTCATAAGAATTGCTATTTCCAAAATTGTTTCATGCAATCAATAGTAATATAAAATAGCATCTTTCTAAGCCAAATTTTTTGAGGAAATAAATGTCTGCCAAAATTTATCAAGCTGCAATTTTCAAAATCTCATGTAAATACGTATGAATTGAATTCTTTAAATCGAATTGTTAATTTAAATTTTAACACTTTAAATTGAATTGTTAATTTTTATGTCAAATCTTCATTACGATTCTCTTATTCTATTATATATATATATAAATATATATTTGAAGACAATTACTTTTCCAGTCTTTCATTCTTATATAAGATTCGTTAATTTAGATAAGTAATGAGTTAATTATTTGTTTAAAAGTCTTATTATGAAATTTGCGTTCTATTTATAGATACGCTAAACAGATCATCAGTTTCATCATGTAGCGGTGATGCCTTGCCACCAGATTTAGATCGTCGCCGTTTTATTGATGTCAATGGTGGGCCTGCGACATTGCCAGCATTTCATACTGTTATCGAAAGACCACGACACAGGTTGGTGGAATGATGCTTTCAAGTAATAATAAGGCGGATGGATATATGTTACACTCAGTCTAGGATTAAAGATTCAAATTTAGGTTAGTATTTCAAATTTCAGACTTTCAACTGAAGGTTGTTCAAAATATGGAGAAAAAGTAATCTTCAAGAATGGCAATTAATGTCCAGTATGATTTCTGTGCTTTCCAATGTAATGTCGATTTTGTCAGGCTTTGAGAATGAAATATAAATTAATTCGAAATGCAGAGAAACAAGTGCGAATCCTGGTGGCAAATGGCGACGCATGTTGCGTGGTCCATCGATGGATAATGCATTTGCCAGTTTACGTACACGATGGAAAAGACATGGAGAAGCGTATTTAGACAACGATAATTCGACTAGCAATGTGAAATGGCGAAGGTACATCATGTTTTCCTCAACTTCTTCGTGAGGCTTAGTTAGATTTTAACCTTTTAGATAAATTAAAAAATTATCTACTGGAATAATTAGAAAAATATAATATGGACAGATCTGAAACTTTGTATGCTTTTGTTTTCATTGCACATGCATGTTCAGGAGTCCATCAGATGTGCGGGCATCACTGCGTGCTGCACGAAGTGCATCACTAATTTCATTCGTTACGAGAAGTGTTGAGGAATTCCGCAGTGGTGTTTTACGAAGTTGGCGACATTGTGCTCCAACATTACGTGATGATTCCATAACAAATGATACGGGCGATGAACGACATACGACGGCAACAGCGGTTGCAACAGAACTCGTAAGGCGTCGAGGCTTGGCAAGTTTTCTGGCTAACGATCAGCAACCGTCGACTGTAAGCAATGTATATTGAAATATGACTTTCAAAAAACTCCCAATTTTAGGAAATTATTGGGAATTTATGTTGTAAAATTATGTTTCTCTGAAGAAAAAAAGCATTTTGTCATTTTCGAAAAAATTTTTCGAACTTTGAAGTTGTCTTCAAACCCTGCAGAACATTGCAACTGCAACAATTGCAACATTGCAGAACAGAACTGCAGAACATTCAAAACATTGCAACTTAAAAATGTTATAAAATATCAAAATTACCATTAATCTATCTTAAAACAATTATTTTCAAATAATTGTTCATGTCTGAATGTCTTGAGCATTATCATAAATATTTGTCGTGTTTTTCAGTCGACAGATACGAAATTAGAATCAAGTGTGAGAGGTAGTATTCCGGAAGCATTTTCGTTGGATACGAGTGATTCTGGTAATAGTCGACCGCCCTCAACAGCTCGGTGTGTTTTTTTTAATTCAAGTTTTTAAACGGGAATTTTGCAAATGTTTGTGCGAGAAAAAACGGATATTATCAAGTTTAATTTTACTGTGCTTTAGAAATGACTGTATCGATGATGGCATAAGTTTGTCATCTGACAGTTATCGCTTTTTTGGTTTCTACGAGGATGAACAGCAACCAGACGAAGGAGCAAGTTTGGAAGATGTGAAGGAAACGTGGACGAAACGTAGTGCAAATGTTAAATCAGAACATGGCTTAGATAGAGCTTTTAATACGAATGCAACGAGAAGCAAAAAAATGTCAAAAAATGGTATTGCGAGTGATTCGCGATCATCCTCAGCCGATGAGTGGTCTGATGTGGCTAGAAATAGCAGTAGTAGCAGCACAGGCTCACTACATAATGACTGTAGTCGATATGATAATGTTCCAATAGGTTTGCTTTCAGATTTTTCTTAATTTAGTAACTGGTTAGGACATAATACAAATCGTACAATAAATATCTTATAATAAGAAATGGATCAGAGAGATTGCTATGGTTCAACAGTCATCAATGATCCAACTGTAAAATCGTTTTTATTAAGGAACAAGATGTGAATATCAGGATTTTATGAAATTCAAAAATCCTGCAGCTTACAAGTTTGTAGCGATCTTAAGTTTAGCAAGAATTCGTATATCCTCAATTTTTAAAATTGTTATTTATAGGTGAGGATGCTGGTAGAAGAGAACGTTACGTCGAAACACCGTTATCATTTTATGATTTACCACAAAATAATGTCAAACCTGTTCGATCAAATGTTCAATTGTACTTTTTATAAATGAAATTATGTTATTTGAAATCAATCTTTATTGTTTTGTTTCAGAAAATAAATGACTTTATTCAGTTTTTTTTTCGTTTCTGCTACATCACAACTTTCAATATTAATCGAATGCATGAAATGCAAGTCGGTTTCGATTGCTGAAAAATGATAATGATATGGGGGTTTTAAAGTGATTGCTTCGACACTAAACAAATTCATCATTTAATCCGACATTTGTCAGATGTAACCCCAATCGAAGGATAGTTTTTATCTCTGGAAAAGAAAAGATTTTTGAAATAAGATGATTAATTTATTTTAATGGGAAGACAAATTGGTTAATTTTCAGGTGACCTAAAAAAGAATGGAGATACAATTAGAATGAGATCGAATCAAAAGTGAAAGAGATTTCGAATTAGTAAGAATTTTCCTTAAATTTTCAAGAAATAAATCGAAGTTAATAGTACGCCTTAAATTCTATCGAAACAGATCAGAGATGTTGCAGTAAATATATATTCAAGTGAAGTCTGCAATAATGTAGTTAATGTAGGAATTATATACTTCTTTAACGTTCAAAATATATTTCTCTCACTGCTCAACTCGTAATTTCTTCCGCCTTCTTTCAACTCTGAAAAAAATTTCAATTTTTCTCAACCGCCTTTTCATCTTAGAGAGTTTTTAATCACTGCTTCGGCAAACTTCCTTTTCCATTTTGATGTCACACAAGATTTTGCTTATTGATGAAGACAATTGTCCCTACTATGTAAAATCTAAAGAAATATAGCAATTAAAAAGTAATTATGAAATTATCGATGAAATAATTATAAAAATCATTTCTTTTATCCTTGTCAGCTTTCGATCGATTTTATTCTTCCATTTTTTGTCATCATTCTGATCACATAGAACTGCAATAAATTCAAAAACATTTTAAGATGACTGTCATCATTTTGGAAATCGATTGAGCTCCGAACTTATTAGCTCTTATTATTCGATGAAACATTAACGAAACTTACCGATCAATGAAATACAGTAAAAGAAATTGTTGAAATATTTGAAAAGATCTGAAAAATAATCGAATATACGAGGGTATATACGAGGTATATGTTTGTCTATCAAAATTATATTGTCCCTTCTTTCAATATACCTTTTCTTTTAAGATTTTATTTCTTTTATCGGTTATTGGATACATAACCATTCGTAGGATTTTATTTCGTTCCCCTTTTTTCTGCTTATAAGTTACTGCTTTTAATTGTGTTTTAAGCAATAAATGCTAAAGGTATAGGTGAAAATATAATTTTATTTAAATGGTTTTATTTTAATGAAATATTTTAGTATCAAAATTTATTCATCTATCCAGTTAGTGCATAATAGATTTTCAAATCATTGCATAACTACATAATGAGCAGTAGAAAGGATTTATGAAGGTAATTCACATGAATTAATATAAAGGCAAAAAAAAAAATAGATTAGATTTATGAGAAAGGTAAGAAAAGTTAAGTAGACTGAAATGGCTGGAACGGAAATGGGTGAATAAATTAATCCTAAACTATTCGAGGAGAAAAATTAACGATCATTCATTTACGAAGAGATCTATTTCTTTTCATTCTGTTTTCTTTTTATCGTAACCTCCACTCTGATACGGTATAGCTATGGATGTTATTGGACGACCCTGTACAGTAAAAATTGATATAGTATGAATAAAGCTTTTGTTTCTTCTTCATTCCCATCTAAGCCACTCTATCCTCAGGCTATTTCGATCAACTAACAACATTCAATGTAATGAACATGTAGACCTTGTAATCCTAAGGCATTAATCAAGCTATTATTTCATTAACGGGGCTATCTATTAGTATTATCAAAAATGAATTATCCATTTCTATTAGGGATAAGTTATTCATTCCAGTATCATTGCTTTCATAAAAATTAAAATACATGCTTAAGAGATTCTATTCTACGAATGAACATTGTATCTATGGATCAAAGATTACTAACACTACTATTCGTAGTATAATTCACGAATTCACTTACTCATTCGTGTTTCTTTCGGAGTGATTATCCGAAAACATTCTTCAACAATTGGAAACACACGGATTGCACCGGATTCGTTTTTTTGTTTGTTATATGCCAATGAATGACAATTAATGCAACACATATACCCACACATATACACATATATACATACACACGTACACAGGCATGAACAGACATAGACAGACACAGATAGACATAAAAGCGTAATAGTTGTTGGCTAAGCTATGTAGCTCACCATTAAATCATTGATTGGCATTACGTGTTTTATGTTCTTTTCCGTGTAATATCGGAGAAGCAAGGGTTAAAGGATAATGGGAGAGTAAAAAAATTATGTGCGGGAGAAGCAGGGGAAGATAAGGGAAAGTGATGATACGATGTGTTCGACATTAAATTTCCATCTTCTTTGTCTTTTTCTTTTTAACCTTTCTTGTAATTAATTAATAATGAATGATTGTCGCTCGCATAATTTTTACTCTATTTGATTAATAACAAAAATGAAAAGAATTTTATTATAGAAGACGAACATTTTGCAATTCATTCGTTTAAATTAAACGAATTGAAATAACATCTCTACAACTCTTCCTCAATCATAATCGGACAATTTTTGCAACAAATTCGTCTCTTTTTTTCTTCCGCATTTTACCAATCGTTTTGTTTCGGGAGGGGGAGGGGGGGACGAAGAGGGGGAATGAAACTGGCATTTGCATTTTGTTTATAACAAATTCATTTCTATTTAGATATCAAATATCAGAAATTCATTTCTATTTAAATACCAAAAAAAATACCTGTGAAGTTATTTGAAATTTTCGAGAAATTCAAAATGGATTTTAAGAAACCGATCAATAGTTATATGTTTCCACTTTCGTTAGTTCCTAAAATAAACTAAACGCCTAAAACGGATAACTAAATGAACGTAATTTCTTCATTTTCTCTATTCTGATGTATTCTAATTCGTTTTGCTTTATTTCACTCTATTCATATTTTACGAATGAGTAATTTGAATTAGTAATGCTGTCCAATTGATAATTTGTCCTCAAAAAAAATAAAGAAAATTATATGTCATTCTTTGCCTATCATATAGTGTAACTATCGTTCGTATGCAAAGAGACATTTGTGGTTGCGAATTAAATTACGCTTGTCAAATTTTCATGTCACTTCACTTTATTATTTCAATGTGAATTGATTTCAATTTATTTTAATATTATCATTCATTTATTTCACGTAAGCTGAAGTATATCCATTATACGTGATCTTGTAGTTTTTTATAGCAAAATTAAATTGCATTAGTAAGTAGGAAATACTGACGTTTCATATTATTATCACTTATAATCTTGATTCACTTGTAGTCTTACATGTGTCATCATAAAAATGATAAGTAATATAATATTATCAAGAAAATTGCGATATGACATAATTTAGCCCACTAAATATAGATGATATTTTTTTATTGTTAGAGTATTTATTTTACGTAGTCATTATATATTATGCTTTATTATTTTCTTATCTTTAATATAAATGAAATGATTGAAGAGGAAATGAAATGAAACAATTTGATTATAGGAGAGGGGGGGGGGGTGAATTGTACAAATTGAAAATAACATTCATACAACTCAATCATAATCCGACAATTTAAAAATACGTAAATATTGATCAATCCCTTAAATCCATTTTAAATTTCTCAATAACTTCAAATAACTTATAGAAAAAAAATTGTTTTTCATGTTACATAATTTTAAATTGCAATATATGATTTTTAAAAAATTTATTTATAACTTTTTTCCTATCATTTTTCTTCATTTATTTTATTTTGATACTCATTCTAATTAATTAATTACATTCATTTCTCATGTTTTTGTTTTGTTCCCAATGATCATTATCATTTTTATTTGATGTGTTATTCTTTTGTGTGAAAATGTTTGATAAATAGCAAAGAAATATTTTTGAAAAGTTAAAAGTCTTTGTTCCTTTCAATTTTTATCACCGTTCTTGATAACAAAACCAACATAAAATGTTTTATTTAGAACTTTTTTTCTTATTATCTTTTTCCTTCTGGTACCCATCCTAATTAAATTATATTTATTTTGGATCGATTTAGTAATTAAATCATCATTTTTGTTTTAGTGACAGATGATTTCGAAGGATAATTTTACATTGAAGAAATTGCCACTGTTCTGTAAAGTTGAAAATTTAAAACTATTTTTGCTTTTGGATATTCTTAACATCTAAATGTCTAAAGACGAAAATCAGCTTTGTATCGGCCCATTATTGGCATATCGATGAAAGAGTTGAAGAGGGAAGTTGACATGACATTACTTTCGTAAAAAAAGTTCCTCCAACCAGTTTCTCTATAAACATTGAGAGATCAAGCAACAAATACTTCCTTGCGTTAAAAAAATGATAGAGGCTAGACGTTGTGGTGTTTCTTCCGGGAATATTTTCAAAATATCAAAATAATGAATCACACAAATTTTGCACCGTATAGTTCCAAAGAACTGAGGAGACTTTTGATCTTATTGAATCTTCCTTTTCACCATTGAGTGTATTTCCATGCATTAAAGATACAGAAACAAAAGTGAATTCAAGTTGAAACGACTTCTCTTTATATCTGTAAATTATTGACAGAACACAAATTTATTGAATTATCATGCAAGTTTTGCATTTATACGAAATTCAAGACAATTAAAAGAGCAAATTGAGCGCATCTTCTTTTTTTTTTGCGTTGTTGAAGTATGCGAAGTGAATAAATTAAGATTGAGATGAAGTTTCAAGTTTCGGTTAAGATAATTATTTGTTATAAAGAGATGAGAAACAAGTGTCATTATACTCCTGAATATACGACATACTATTGTTTCCATGTGGATCTTACTTAGTGGACACATGATAAGTTTTTCTTTCAAATGAAGCACAGAATGTTTGTTTGAATGAATGACTCATTCCTTCCTAATAACATAAATAATCATTGGATGAAATAGGTAGGAATCTTTGTTTAA